TACCACTCCGGGACACTTCGTGAGACAGGAAGTCCACCTTGGGCTGCACGAAAATGCTCTTGGTGAAACTCACGCTGATCCGACATTCCTCGAACCGGGCGAGGAGTCGATCGAGCGTCGCTAGACATGCATCGAAAGACTCGCCGCCAAAGCAAATGCCGTCAACGAACGAACGCCGTTCGAAAACCGGCACCAACGAAGACTCGTCGGGCTCTCCATTCGCGAACATGTCCGCAATAGGACTGTTGATTAATTCCGAGACCGAGCTTTCGTTCGATCCGAGTCCAAGTCCCGCTTCAAACTTCGTAGGCGACTGGTCCGGGTCGGACGACTCTTCATGTGACTGTTCGGTCGAGGCGTCGGCGAGTTCACGGTCGCGTGCTTCAGCTTCTGCCATCAGACGCGCATAATGCTTCCAGCCACCCTTCGGCTGAACAAAGCCCCACAGAGCGTTGTCGAGCATTCGTTGGTAGATCATAGGTGCATTTTTAAGCCCAAAGGGCATTCTGAGCCACTCGAAATGACCCAGTGCACACACAAAAGCAGAGATCTGACGAGCCCTCTGTGTCATCATGATTGCCCAGAGCCCACTCGCCGCATCAAGCGAGCAGTACCACAGATACTTCTCCAGGTCTGTGAGCAGATCATCCACAAGGGGCATTGCATACTCCATGATAGCGGTGACTGCGTTCACCATCTTGTAATCAATGTATCTACGCCATTCTTCCTCAGCACAATCACGATCGGTGACGACCATGGGCTGTTGGAGAACGCGATCAGACCGGCCTTGAGCAAACCTCGCAAAAGCTCGTAGAGCTTCTTGAGGTGTCGGAGGGGAATCCTCCGTGCTCGTTGCTTGATAGGCGCATGGCCCTGTACATCGATGTCGCACACTACACCATACGCAGGCGGTGGTAGAGCATTCCCACTAGAGATCATGATCTTCTCATGTTTCTTCAGAACCTTCACTAAGCGATCCTGCCGTCCTCTACTCAGTTCCGGGTGCCGGACATTCTCAGCCGAGTAGTCCAGTTCCGTGACCGAGGCTTCTGTAAGGTCGGGCAGGAAAGCTAGTTCATGAGCATAATCTTCCAAGTTGATCTCATTGGGCAAGTGTTTGGCTCGGGCATTGCCAGCTTCGACGTCAGCTTCTCCATCCTCAACGTCGACAACGGCGGCGGCCGACAGATAATTGCGTGTCAGCACTGCTACCGAGTCTTCATCTTGGACTGAGTCTTCGGACCCCGGGGACTGTTCACTGTCACCCCAGTCTGAACGGTCTTCAGTTACGTCAGAGGGTTCGGCTGGCACTTGGCTCGCTATCACCCCTAGGTCCGAGGCGTCGTCATCGGTGCTGGCATCCGAAGCTCCTTCACTCTCAGACTCGATTGAACCTTCGGTACTAGTGTCATCGGCTTCCACGTGCACGGGAGGGAGCGCCACCGGATCATCACCCACTGGTGAGCCGTCGGTGGCGAGTTGCTCCTGCTCCTCACGCTTAGCGATTTCACGTTCCCACTGCTCGGCACAACTCAGCTGGCGGCCGTGCGTCTGGGAGGCTTCGGGTGGCCGGGGTAACACTCCGGCCGGCACTGCATACTCCGGTCGCTCCACAGCCGAAGGCTGAGAGGCCAGCCAATCCGCATAGGCATCACACTCACGCTTGAACACCGTTTCATCCCGACTTCCGTCATACGCCAACTTCTGCCAGTCCTCGTATCGTTCCGAACTGAGTCGAACATAACCTTCAGACTTCGGGAGATCTCCGATCGGTACCCACATTAGCATAGGTGAGTGAGCACGGCAAACCGTAAAACGTTTCGACACGTTCGTCAACCGCACTCTCTCGACCTTGCCTCGCCGAAACTTCGTTACCGTAGGCAACAGAGACTTCGTGCGACGTACCCACACCTCGTGTGTATCCAGAGGTGGTTGACGCCTCGGTACTCTGTACTCTGCGAACTCTCGGCTCTCAATGGTTAGGTCCTCGGACGGACCACCGTTGACGTGCGGGCCTTCACCTTGGTCATTCAGCATGTTCAGCGTCTTAATGAGTGGAATACTCACCTCGTCCGGCAACCTCGCGGTCGCGTGGAACAAGTCCAAGCGCACTCCTGCAGGAATCACGAAGTCGGTGCCGAGGACTACATCCACGCCAGCACCATGATCCATAATCCACAATTCGAATTCGTACACTCTGCTCCAGCCGAGGGTTACTTTCACGAGAGTTCGTCTCTCGGTTGTCATGGTTCCTTTCGTAAAACCCTTAACCTCCATACAGCGGCCGTGACCTTGGATATCACGCAACCGCAACTGCTTCGCGAACCGTTCGGAGACCACACTAACATTCGCGCCAGTGTCCAATAGAATCCTCGTTCGCGTGTCATTTACCGCGCCCTTGACCAGAGCTCTCATCCGAACTCTCTTGTCGAACTTCTGCGCGGACCACCACCCCAGCCTCTCGCCTGGGAGTAACTTCGTCACCCCACTGGGCGTTCGGCCAGGGTGTCCTTCTTGCACCGCACTTGAGACCCAAGCCTCGGTGTCATCTTCATCATCTTCATCATCATTCATTTCACTTGTTACACCTCCACCGAGGGTTGCCCCTCTCTCCTTTTCATTTTCCGTCGTTTTCACACATTCCTTGTCCTTGTCGTTCGGCCGTTTACTTTCGCCCACGAATGCGTAGACACAGTCTGCATCAATCGCGGACTCAGTTAACTGTGGCAGCCCGATTGGGACCAACCCAGTTTCAGTTGGCGGGCTGCCTAGTTTAAATTGCCACCGAAGACTAGGCTTTGGAGCTCTGGCGAGAGGTCCTTCTTCTCGGCCTTCGTTTTGATGAACGAAGTGAGGGCTTGAAGTGCTTCGCACTTGCCGATGTCATGCACCTGCTGGCACAGTCGGCGGCGGCGGTAGCAGTAGTGAGCCGAATGCCCGGCTCCACCACAAGCTGCGCACGGTCCGTACTGACGCGGACGACCATCACGGTTGTCTCGGCCGGAGTGGCGGTTACTCCGGTCGAATCCTCGGCTGGGTTCACCACCCTTGCGTTGACGTTGGTCAGGGCGCGCGTACGTTCCTTCAGCTGCTTGGCGTCGCTCGCGCTCATTGGCAGCAGCGACGTGAGCTCCTTCCTCACCAGAGCTGCTAACGTCACTGTAGCCACCATCACTCGGATCGCTCTCGGAGTAATGATAATCACTGGCGTCACTCTCGCTGTCGCTGTACGGGGTACGGCGTGGCGACGAGCGCTCGGCTCTACCACCCTTGGTACCGCGGATTTGCAGTTCAGCGACCAAGTCTGACAGCGAAGCTTCAGCTAGCGAAATGCGCGGAACATGGCGCGAGTCATCGCGGCGGCGAGAGTCTTCGCGGCGACGTTCGTAACCACGGTCGCGGCCGCGACGGTAACTGTCACACGAAGCTTCGTGGCGACGGTCATCACGACGACGCGGTTGGTCTCGACTGCGCGAGTGGTGAGACGAGGTCTCGCGCGACTGCCCACGCTCTTCAGACTTCAAGATGTCGTTGATCATGTCCTCGAGTTCGTGAATGTCCTTCACCCGAACGTGGCAAAGCCGGCGTTCGAGGCTTCGGTCACCGCACGTCTCGAGGAACCGCTGTACATGGTCCTTCGCATCGCGACCACCACTCTCGAACTGTAGGCCAGCATTACGGGCGTAACCATTCAGTCGGTTGAGGTAGTCACAAAGGTGTTCCGAGGACTCGCGCTTCGCAGAGTAGTAGCGAGCCTTCGCAGACTGGCTAAACTGCGAGCAGTAATACTTGATAAACGCATCGCTCAGTCGCTTCCACTGACGCTTAGTCCTCTTCGGGAGTTGACGGTACCAGTGAAGAGCACCGTCCCGAAGGCTCAGCTCGAAAGCCATACACCACTCGTTAGGCGGAGTGTGCGTTCCCTTCATCTTGTAGACGAAAGCTCGGAGCCACTGCATAGAGTTTTCACTCCGATTGCGGGCTCCTGAGAAATTCTTGATCTGCGCAAGCGGCCGGTGTGTGGCGATCTCGAGCCGAGGAGTCGGACTCAGTCGCTCCATCTCACTCACTTCGCGCACTTGACGGGCCAACTCATCGCTCGGGCTGTCAAACCCATCTTCATAGTCGATGTTGTCATTGTCGTCCTCGTCGGACGAGGAGTCATCGCGCGGTGTAAACCGGCGGTTTGAGCGTCGCGTGGAGCTTCGTTGTGTTCTCCGCTCGCGTCGCGAACCTTCGGACTCACGCGCAATACGGTCGGCTCGACTCGCCGACCTAGGAGTCACCATGTGCGAGTCTTGGAAGTACGGCGAACCTTCGGTCTTGGCGGAGAACACTCCGTCCGTCGCTTGGCTTTGATTTGACCGCTCGGCGGACTTCTTGGGTGTCTGTGGCAGTGGGATCTTCGAAGGATCAGCTTGCTCCCTCGCGGGGCGAGCACTCGGGGGGCGTCCCAGAGTCAGGTCCGACTCCCCGAAGCTCAGGCGAAGCTTCCTCTTCCACTTATGCAGCTCCTTGCCGGCGAGACCCGGCGTCCAACTCTTGATCGAGACTTCGGACGGACGAGTCCTTGGCTCGCAGCCCATCGCTCGTAGGAGGGACACCGTGTCCTCGGTCACCTGAGTAACCGAGGTCGACTCAACGGGGTGTTGTAACTCCTCCTTCAGCTCAGCCCAAGTCGCTTGACGCGTCATCTCGGGATTGAACTGCCATATCCACTCGCTCGACTCCACCATCTGCTCGAGCATTCTGCCGAGCACCTTGTTTGCAGCTGGAGTGCTGCTGTTCATAGCGGGCCGACTTCCGCGGGATTCTTGAGGACCCTTAGTAACCTGCACCAGAGCCCTCGAAGCCGAGGTCTCGGTGCCATCCTCAAAGTCGTCATCCGCATGGTCGGGTTTCGCCACTTCATCAAATTCCGCGACGAGGTTCCGCGACAAGGAGCGCGAGCCTCCGCTACGTCCCGCGGACAGCATCGCATCTTCTTCATCTCCGAACTCCTGCGTCGTCGCTGGAGTCTTCTCCTCCAGGTCATCATAGTCCATCATCATGTCATCCTTGGCGTCCGAATCTTCGTCGACCGACTCTTCGAAACTGACCGACCTTTCGGAGAACGTCGACAACCGAGACGTTAAGTCACTCGCGATCGTTGACGAATCTTCGGCCGATCCTCGTCCCGACTTCACCGGCGTAGCTGGTACCGCTGACTTGGATCCTTTCGCCATCTTGTTCTTGTTCTTGTTTTTGTCTCTTCTTCTCTTCTCTCCTCAATGCTCGTTGGGCAAAATCTACACAGACTACAACACACAATCGGTCACACCAGTCCCGGGTCGCGGCACCAGTTGTCGTGTAGGAAAACACGAGTTTACGAGTCCTCGCCCTATCAACCGAAGTCTCTAGGACGAGCCCTACCAACAACACACGCCATCTCCGAAGAGTCGGCGATAGATTGTCGGGATCATAAACCTGAAGACCAGGTCCGATCCCTTATACGGGCTGGAATGTGCCTCCCTGTGTGTTGCGGGTCAGGTAGGTTTACCCTTCGTTAAAATATAAGAGCACCCTTAGCCACGAGCCACGGCTAGGGTGCAATGTGTAATACGTGCTTTCGCACTAAACCTCTGTGGTCCCTCAGAAAGGAAGGGTACCAGGCCAATCGAAGCCTCTTACAGGGGCGCCGGGGCGAAGCCTCGGCTAGAAGTCAAATACACTGGGGTGTCCTTGCCTCACACCCAGTCAAACGTACAACTGTACATAGAGGTCTCTAATACCTCCCAACACTCGGCCACCTACTCACTCTTGGCCTTACCAGGATGAACACTCGGTCAATGCACCGGCAGACATACCCCGTGCAGCCGAGTGTATCCAGACCCTACGCTAAGCTTAGCGACTTACCGTAGACGGACTTGACCCTTGTGTGGCTTGGGGGGAAATTCTGCTCTGTTTAATGGTTTAGAGGCTGTCAGGCCTCTCCTATAGCTAATCCCTAAGGTCTATACAAATATCAAGTGTGGACCGAGCTTTCGAGCTGATCCTACAATCGGACGAAGCTTCGTCCTAAATCCGAACTCCTACTGGGCATAAAGTGTACCCACTATGAAACTTCGGAGGCCTCGGCAGGCGGTTTATTTTGACCCGCCGAGACCCTCCTGTCACTCCGTAGTCTCTATCAATCTTCTGGGCACTAACGCGCGGGGAATGTGACCGACCAATCAGAGCCCTCGGTCAGCCATCTCTCGCAAGCTCAAGGCAGTTAGACCTCGGCCGGAACTCGCCCGGCCGCTGTCACTTCCCGATCTCACAGTTTGTACTGCTTCGCGGTGGAGTAGAAGCTGTCCGTGTTTGCTAACGTGTGGTCTTGACGTGGGATTGGTACAGACACTAGGTCCTCTGCGTTGGAGTGGGTCTCGAAGTTGATCGTCCGCAGCGCCAAAAGCTGCGTGTGCAAGCGGCGCAAGTACTCAGCATGGGTAGGTGGCTTTTCTCCTCCTTTCTTGAGCACCCAGCAATGCACGATGTATCCATTGACGACAGCCATGTCGACGAGGCACAGAAATAACTGCTTGTAGTACTTGCGCAGGGAAATGCACCGCTGGATGCTGTAACGCTGAAGTCGTAGCTGGTCGTGGACATCGACACCTCCCATGCCAAGGCCGTAGTCCACGACCAGCTGCGGACAAGGCACCGTGCTGCGCGTTCCATCTTTCTCCGTCCTCAGCACACTAGTCACGTGGGTGCTGCACCCCGTGGAGAGCATGTTCACCGGCTTAGAGTCCATCCAGCTCAGTGCAACCGGTTCAGGATAGTCGTGAGCTTGTGCAATACGGTAGGTACCTCTTGGCATCCGCTGCGGGCGTTTGCTTTGCGTTAAATGGATCGGGCACCAGCCCAAGCGATCGATTCTCGTGGTGCCAACATGATACAAGCCCATGCGGAGCAGCTTCAAGCTCAGCAACACTGTGGAGTAGAAACTATCCGTCACAATCAAGCGCTTCATTGGCTGGTTGATCAGCGCTTTCGAGATGTTCCTCACGACAGCCTTTGGTCCCAGCCCCAATGTTTCTGTGGGCGCCTTCTTCGTTTTCTTCTTTGTCTTGTCTGCACCGCAGTAAATCTCAACTCTGTAGGCATACAGAATACCATAGATACAGATTAGTTTATTCTGTAGGATCCGGATTAGGGAATACAGAACAGGAAAACTAGTATGCGGTTTCAGGACAGCACGTCATGTAGAACTTCGTGCCGTACTTGCTGGGCTTGTCCGGCATGAAAATGCGCATGGGGTTGAACTTGCTGCGATTCGGCATCATTCCTTCGTCGAACGAGATGACCTTCCCCAGCCGATATCCACGACGAAACGTTTTCTCGACTGCTTGCAGCACCGGTCGAATTTTCCATGCCTTGTCAGCGTGGGCCCCAGCGTCCTCATTGTTGTTGAAGTGCAGGAACTTCATAATGTCTTCGAAGCGGCGGCGTTTCATGAAGCCTGAGAAGGTTCCGCGCGGAATAGCCCCATCCTCATCAGTACACCAGTGGTGAGCTAGGCTATCCCGAATTGGCGCCACAGCCCTAGCAAAGAGCAGCGCTACGACGTGCACGATCTCATGCGCTTAAATGGGCTTGAACTTGTTCAAGTCTGCTTCAATATCCTCCACGTTAGGCACACTCACGCGCGGATCCTTGGTCTGTCGGGCTAGCAACTTCTCTCGGCGAGAGATTGCCATTGCCGGGATATTCTGCAGTCGGTAGAGCTCTGTCTCTTCAGCGATACGAATCCAGAGTTCCTTGGGCAGAAAGTAGAAGAACATGCCCAACGGGAAATCCGCGTAGGCGATAGCAGAACGGGAGGGGCCATATTTCCCGTCGTAATAGTCCGTTGCGGCGTCGACTTGGAGATTTCCTGAATCATCATAAAGATGGATAATACAGAATTAACACAACTGTACATCCACATATTCTGTACCATCCGGCTTACCGCTGTGCTCCTCATCGTAGGTTACCCAACCACTTTCCGCAATGGTCCGAAGATCGTCATCAGTCAAATCAAACGTCCCAGTGTCGAGATCACCTTCATTCATTTCCACGTCGTCTACGTCTTCTACACCTTCTGGAGCTATGGCGTTGTCGGTCATAACATCCTCATCATCCGCATCGGACTCGCAGTCACTCAAATCAGCCGTCGCTACAACGTTCACGTCATCTTCAGCAGTCGGTCCAAACAGTCGTTCCTTGCGCAGCTCTTCCATGAAGTTGTCGCTGTCAAACACGTCCAGATCGATGAATGCTTTGCACTGGTTGGGGTGATTGTCGGTCTCACTCCTGGCTTCTTCATCGTCGAACGGCCTCGATCTGTCTTCGGTAGGATCCGGAATAGCGTCGTGGGTCGCACCACCTTGCTCTGTAGGAACCGGAATGTGGTATAGCAGTACACACAAAATCGTCAGTTGTGGTAACTTGGCTACAAACACAACAATAGCCGAGCTGGTCGGGTTTGTTGGCCTGCGCCGGGTTGCCCCCGAGCGGTTCGGCCCAACCGGGACAGCGGGTGTCTCGCCTCTCGCCGAGACCTGCCAACCAAGATCACTCCTCCGGAGAACCGCCGAGTTCGACGGCCTCCGTTCACTCAACCCTGTGCCCTCCACCAAAGGATGGACGACGGCGCACGGAGCGCTTTTACAGGTCGCCGAGAGCAAAGGCTTCTCGACTCAGCAATCAGTGCCCGGGACGTACGGGAACACCGGCTCGCAGCGGTGGCGAGACTTTTCCTTCGCGCTTGGCGAGACACGCGCCCAACCCGGGCCGACCTTAATCTCTTGGCGCTACCAGTCAACACCCTACAAGCTATGCCTCTCGGGTGCTGACAGCAGACATAATCCGGCCCGTGCAGGGACTTACTGGAAGCGCGTGCACGTGTTGTGGACCTAGAAAATTCTGCTCTGTTGTTTGTTATCTCTGTCGGGCGCCCTGAAGGGGCGCCTCCACTATTCCTAAGCTCCTATACAAATACCAAATGAAAGTGGGCGGTTTTGGATCTCGGCAGACTCTTCACTGAGCTCGGCGACGCTTGAGCTCGGCTGGTCCGGATGAGCTATCCGGACAATTCTTCGAACTCGGCTGAGCCGGATAAGGTGTACGGATAAGCTGGTGAACTCGGCTGAGCTCGGCTACCGGTACAGTGTACCACTCCAGCCGAGTTGGTCGCGCGAAATCTGGTGTTTCCTACACCACAGGAATAGCGTCGTGGGTCGCACCACCTTGCTCTGTAGCATCCGGAGTAATGCTTTGTGCTGACGCCGTGTGATCGTTCATATCCAGAGTAGTAGCTTCCGCCCTACCAGCTTGGTCTGTAGAGTCCTCAGTAACACCATCAACTTGCTCAGTATCCGCAGGTGAAGCTGAACGACGCGCTGCATCCGGTTGGTTGGCATTAGCGGCCAAACGATGCCCCATGTCGGCTTGATCAGTAGCATCCGGAATAGCATCACCCACTCCATCACCCTGTTCTGTAGCATCCGTATTGGGGCCATCCACAGTCGATGGAGTCGCCATTGGTGTACATGCCGGGGCCAGCGTGACATGCGCAGTTGGAACAGCAGGGGTGGCTCGTGGAGTCGCAGCAGCAATCGACGCTGCATCCGTGTCCGTGCTCGTACTTCCAGCGGCTGGTTTAGGCGTCCGGGCAGCTGGCGATGGTGCTGGCTGACTAATAGCGGCGTACGACGCTTGCTTCCCAGCCGGGGCCCGGGTCGACTTTCGAGCGCTGGGCACAGCGGTAGCGGGGAGATCAAGCCGACCAGATCGTCGTGCAAACGCCACGAGAGCCTTCTCACCTGGGGAAATACATCTATCGTTAGCATACACGTAATTATATACAAAACTTATGGTTACCCACCCTCAAAGAAGTCGATTCCACGTTTTGCTCCGTCGAGACGACCCTTGATCCCTGGCTTCATATAGCGGTGATCCTTCGCACGCCGGTAGGCTTGCGTGCCTTCCAGTCTTCCTTGCATAGCTCACGCCACAGCTGCTTGAACGCCTTTTCTCCGGGGCCGTTCATCGTTTCCGAAATGAGGGGATGGCGGACACGCAGCAGATATTGGCTTTCGTACGAATTTTCAAACCTTTAAGGGATTTATATTGGTCTTTCTATTCTCACCGCATAATCCCCGTCTATCTACCCATCACCAATCTGAATGGAAGATGTGTAAAGTGTTGGCCATACAAAAAGATATATGCGACTTTTGAACTTGAAGCCAAGTTTGCACGATATTTTGTCCTGTAATAATGCTTATTCTGTAGGATACAGAATACGGGGTTAGAGAGGTTAAAGTAAACGGGAACGATACCAAGTAAACGCGTATGCGTAAATAATAAGCTCGATTTTGCCTAGAGGTCTACCTCGACGCTGTCGAAGCGCTGCGCGTCCTGCACAAGTCCGACCGCCAGCTCGTCTTCGGACGGGTCGTCGGCCTGGCACAAATCTTCGAGGCCCAGACGCCCGCCTTCGTCGAACTGGCGCAGAAGGAAGCGCTTGCGCTCCGAGTCGTGGTTGCGGTGGTTGGACACATCGCCCTCATCCAGGATCTCGGCCTGCAAAATCTCCTCCAGAACGTCCTCCAGCGTCACGATCCCCAGCAGTGTGTGCATATCACCCGTCTGCAGAATCAAGCGAACCTCGACGTCAGTGAGCAAAAGCTATTAACACGAATCACTAGTCTTACCGCATCGATCGTCTGCGGCTGCTTCACCAGGACCAAATGGGCACTTTCAGATTTAAACGTGTGCAGTAGTGCGCTCAGCCTGCAGTCTGGGGCCACCGAGCGGGTAGTTCGACCAAAGATCTGGAAAAAGCTCGAGAGGAGGGTGTTTTCCTGGGAACGAAAGCACTGCGTTAGTGATTGAACAATGAGAGAGAAATGCGAGCCGTGCGAACCTTCGGGTCCACGAAGATGAGGTCCTTGACGTGGATGGTCCCGATGATGTCATTCACCGACTCGCCATGGACGAGTACGCGCGAGAACCCGCTCGCGAGGATGCTGTGGATGAGCACGCGGTCCAGCACGGCCGAAAGAGGAGCCATAAACACTTGATCCACTGGGGTCATGATGCTCCTGGCCGTTTTGTTTCCAAATGTCATCGCGCCGCGAATGATGCTGCCTTCGTCCTTGTCAATCATCTGCTGCTTCTCGTGGATGTCGATGATCTCCGCTAACTGCACGGGGAAAGCAAATTTGTTTTGAGTGATCCCTTCACGGTACACCAGAAACAGTTCACATCCGAGCACGCACCTGTCTCCTCGTGAAAACCGTGCCAATGTCTTCTCCTAGAGTCGCATCCAGCGCCATGCTGACAGGCTTCGCGAAAACGAAAAAGAGCGCGATCAAGACGCGTACGAATGGGACCACCTTGCCTCCGATCACTGCAATGGACGACAACGTCAATCAGCAGATAGTTAGCCAAAGAGAGAGGCAGCAATGACACAACTGTTCCTCACCTAGAGCGTATCTGGAGCAGAGAGCCTGCGGAACGATCTCGCCAAAAATCAAGATGAGCACCGTCGACGCGATAAACCCGAACAGCCCTAAAGCAGCACGACAACCGACATTAGCGCCATTACTATTCACTCACAAATGCGCTGAGGCTCGTACCGCTGGTGAGGTCGGCCGTGATGATGGAGGTTAGCACGTTCACCGCCACGTTCCCCAGCAGCAGCGTCGTGAGCAGCAGGTTGCCGTTCCGACGCAGCGGGATCACCTTCTTGGCGGCCTCGCTGTTCATGCGCTCCTTCTCCGTGGCCTGCGCGTCCTCGCCCGCAGCCACGACGATCTCCAGGCCGATGAGGTCCAGCGACATGAGGCCGAGTCCCAGGCCGGCGAACATGGCCGACAGCGCCAGCAGCAGCACCAGCGCCCCCACCTGCAGCGCGATGTCTTCGCTGCTGAGATCTTTATGTTCGTTGCCGCCCCCGAAGCCTCCTCCGTTCGCCGCCGCAGACTCCAGCCGCGTCGCCACAACCACCACAGCAGCATAGGCGACGCCAGGCCTCACACCTCGGGGCATCATGGCTCCTCTAGTTCTATCGTCGGAAGCCTCCGGCCGACGACCTCGGCGCTACAAATAGAGCAGTGTATCGTGAAAGGTCGGATGTGCGCCACATGAGACTCGGGCGTATCCTGGCCGAGCGAGGATGATCAGGCGGTCGCTGCTCGCGTGGACGTGGGCATCATGTTTGGGTGGCGGCGTCGCTGGTGCGCTGCGGTTTGCGGCGGTGGGAATTATTACCTTGCGCTTGTGCGAAGGGAAGCTGGGACTTACTCGGGTGCTGCTGGGATGTCTGCGTAGTACGAGTCGCAGGATGAGGTGCTGGGAGGCGGAAGCCGCCTGTTGACTGCTGTCGAGCTGGAGACGGACGGTGCTGCAGTGTGGAACAAGGAGCTCGTCCAGCTCTTGGTGAGAGGCGGCCAGCAATAGGCGGCACTTGTGTTTTGCCACTTACTTTTGTTATTCGGTGTTTGTTCTACTTGCCGCTACTCTAGATTTCGTGTCAGCACGGCACGTTGCAGCTGGAACAAGAGGTGGAGCGGAGTCTGGTGGATACGGCCTTCTTGTGTGAGGATGGTGACACCCAAGTGAAGCGCTCGATCGGGGTCCTTACGACGCCGCAGGAGGCGCAGCAGATCCTGTCCTCGATCGTCTATCAGCCCGACGCAAACTACCGCAGCGCGTGGACCGACCCTCTGCCTACGACGGAGAGCGGGGGAAATGAAGTTGTTCGCATGCAGCTCTTGCCGGTGGGTATCGATGCCCCTAGGCCATCGAAGGACTCGTGTGTTGCAGGTGATATGGTTGGTGTCTCTACTGACGAGGCGGAAGGTGGCAGTGCTCACGAAAAGAAAATCTTCGTGAAGAGTGTGAATGATCCACAGAAAGTCGGACGAGAATCTACCCTGGAACTGAAGTATGGTGGCAGCTCGTATCCTCCGGATATGCTGATACGCGAAGCTATTATGGCTGTTGAAGACATGGACATGCTAATTGGTGGAGAAATTAACCTGGATGCATTTGCGGATATTAAGGTTGGTTCTACGATTGGTATACGTGCGCACAATGGTGTTGTGTACTCTGTCGGCGACGGCATACACATGGACGCAAACAGCGAGCAACAGATCAGCACAAGCGATACCCATTATCTGCGCTCGGTCATGTCGAATTTGCGCCATATCCCCAACCCAGACTTCAATGGCATTGATGAGATCAACTTCAGCACCCAGGGCCAGACAAGTACTCTCTACATTTACGTCCAGGCTAAAAACGACCCACCCAGGCTTGACTTTGACTTGAGCGAAATGAACGATTGGTACAAGTACCCACGAATGTTTCTCCCGTCTTTCCAGCTGGATGACCCGGACAAAGATCAAACGTTTCAAGTTGATATCCGTGTTGATAATGGAACATTTTTCGTGGAGCAAATGTCTACCAGTGTGTTTGATGGTGTGTCTGTGGAATTCAACTCTTCATCTTCGTCGCTGCGGCTGACGTCCGGGTTAGCCCGGCTTAACACCCTTTTCCAGCAGCGCCTGGTTGAGATCGTACCGAAGGCTTGTCTTCAAGGAACCACTCCAACCTCTTGCGCAGCATTGATCGAGTTGTGCGCTGATGATGGCTTTATCCGCACTTGCGAAGTGGTAAACATACCCGAGCAGGAAGTATTTTATCACGTTGTCGTGCCAAGTTGGGCCAAGAGTCTGAACGTGGCAGCCGGAGGCTTATTGAACATATCCGAGGCTTTCGTGATTCACCAGAGATTTGACGTTATCTATGAGCTGTTGCTTCGAGTTCAGGTGTCGTCCAGCTTTTTCCGGATTGCAGCTCCGAGCTGTGGTGAACTACGCGACTTCGTTAGGCCGGTTGGACGGCAGGACTCGAATCAACTTGGAATGACCCAGCTTGTTTATTCGGGTGATGCTGCTTGTTTAAACCGAGTGCTGGGAACTATTCAACTTCAGACCTCGTACGGCTCAAATTCCTCTATCGCTATCAGGGTGGAACTCCTTACAGAGGAAATGCGTCTACTAGCAAACGAAAGTGTTAGTGTGGATGTCGCTGAAAACCCTACACCCATCCACATCAGCGTCGTGCGAGCAAGTGGCGATGATCCCTGGGTAGCAACACCTGACAGCTACGCTAGTTTGACCTCCATTGTAAATGTTTCGCTTGTTGCAGATCCTGAAGCTACCATCGACAGCGACATACTGGAGTTAAGGGTTTCCTGTCAAAATTGTCTGTGGAAATATCGATCCTTTGTGCCACAAGTCGCATATGAGCACGCTCAAATTCCAAGTTCTGGACTCAGCTTCCTGGGGCCGTATGAATCACTGCGCACCGTTCTTGCCACTTTACAGCTCGCCATCACAAATAGCGGTGATGCTGCTGAAGTTGTTCACTTGCACATGGCGCTTGCGCCGCCGCTCTCAAGACAGGTATCGGGCTCTGATTGGAATAGCAGTACGAATATCTCGATTCCATTTACCCTCCACTCTTCTGGGCTTTCGTGGGTTGCAGAACGCTCTCTAATGCTCGTGAAAGCACCCGATTACACTGTCGCCTTGAGTGGCGTCAAACTCACGGGCAAAGATGAAACCCCTTCTATGACCCTGACTGTTCGAATGAATTGCACTCTTGGTCATGCGAAGGTCAGTCTACCAAGGGCGAGTCCGAAGCTTCTCGAGCTTCCTTGTGGCCCGGATGAACCTGCTATAAGCCTGGTCGTGGAGAGAGCTCAAGTGAACGACGTGGTACGCTCGACAATGGTAAAGATCATTCCCAGTGGAAGGGATTCACGCGTACGACTTCATATTACTGCTGTCGAGACAGTACAAAAAGCTACCGCAAATGAACCATCCATTGATCTTGACTTTCGTGCTTCACATCAGCTACCTGAAGCAAAATTTGCGTTGCGCAACGAATCTAGTGCTATACAAGTCACTGGGGAGAAGATTCAATCGATTGGAGACATTGTGACCGTAGCTGGAAACCTAGACGGACCAATGTGGTTTAGAATGCTGGCACATGTAAGCCATGGGCGCTTAACTGTTCCTATGGATGTGTGCTGCGTGGATATTCGCAAGACGAAGCACGAAAATGAAGTTGATATGATCGGGACAGCACTGGCACTACAACGCGCACTCGCCGCCGTACAATTTCAAGGCCATGAACTATACTCTGGTAGAGATGTGCTCGAAGTGACGTTCGCCCGCTTCCCCTCGACAACCCAGCAACCGCACTCCTCCTTTGACATCCCAATTGAAATCGTTTCTGTAGGCCACGCATCAGCCAAAATGATGCTGGCTTCTGTGAATGATAACGACGTGTGGGCTACCAACGAAGCGCAGATATTCCCCAATTGGAGCCCAGGTCTGGAACAGCAAGTAGTGATCCCCAGTTGGAGCCAGCCGTCAGATTTGGAGGTTTCAGATGCTCAAACGAACGATGAAGCGATTAGTTTTGCTCCAGACTCAGACTTAATCCAGGCAGAACATGAAGTGTATCTGTCCCCCAAGGCAACAGCACTCGTACCTCTGATACACATTGAAGAGTCCATCGAGGGTAAGTGAGACGTACGTAGACTATTTTTTAAAGCGCCTAAAACTGATCTGTATTCTTCCTTTAGGGCCACTGTCGTCGCAATACTGGGAAATCGTCACTTTAGCACTGGAGGTCGGCAGGAGTTGGAGCATCTCGGGAATTTATATTCGCGATGGAAGTGGAGACTCAAGTGTCAGCGACGATGACCTTACTTTGAATATTGATGCTGAAATTGGAACGATCTTCCTTGCCGCATGGGATGGTTTGGAGATGTCGGAAGGATCAGAATCCCTGTTTACAGAAAAAATTACCGTCACTGGTAAGTTAGACCTGATCAATACTGCATTGTTAACCCTCCGCTATCAATGCAGTGGAAGCTGCAACAGGCAGGACACGGTCACTTTTCAAGTCCGCAACCCGCTCGCACCTCCACCAAAGATCTCGCATACTCGATCGATTAAAATCGATCAGCTCTACGACGTGCCCGTTCCGTTTGTCGCGACAAATGCAAGCTTATACTACAGCACGGAGGACGCAGCATTCCAGTTCACAGAGCTCACCTTTCGCTTTGCTGACGAGAATGCCAGTCTTCAAGCAATGGAATACATACCGACAGAGCAGCGCTCACAACTTTGGGGTGCTGAGTTGAGTTATCGGTCAACGAAATATTCGTATCCTCGTTCTCATTCAGACGACAAACGTCACCGTTTTGTGGCAGAACTTTCCGGTAAAAACCCACCGCGCTTTATGTGCCAAATGGGAAACTTGTTTTATTTTGCTGGGAGTGATGGCCAGCATGGTGAGGAGCTGTGGGTCTCGGATGGCTCAAGCGCAGGGACTGCCATGGTAGTGGATCTGCTTCCTGGTCGAGAAGGTTCTACACCAGCGGATTTGGTGACGCTCAATGGGAAACTTGTTTTTACGGCAGCAGGGATTGACCTTACGACTGGAAGAGAGATGTGGACAAGTGACGGCAGCGCTAAGCAGACGTATCTAATTGCCGATATCAGACCGGGCCCCGCAAGCTCGAACCCACAATACTACACTTTGTTTCAGTCCCAGTTGCTATTGTTTCAAGCTGAGACGGACGAGTTCGGTGTAGAACTTTACAAGACGGACGGTACTAAAACTGGGACGACCATGATCGAGGATATATGGCGGGGGCCTCGTAGCTCGAATCCCAAATATTTTGTCGAGTGGACGGCTGCTGATAGTCGTGCACGGATGTATTTCGCTGCAACATCTGATAGTGGCCGTGAGCTTTGGGTATCAGACGCCTTATCCAGTTTTAACAGTGATAGAAATCGCAAGCCTTCCGTCTCTAATGTGGCGGTCGGAACGTTTATCGTCAGAGATATTTGTGCTGGAGAGGGGTCTTCTAGTCCACGGTACTTGGTGGCTGCTGCTTCTGTGGGTATTTTTTTCTCAGCCTCGGATTGTGTTCACGGTCGTGAACTATGGTTCACAGATGGCTCAAGCACCGGAACGAGAATGGTGAAAGACCTGAACATTGCAACAGATCAGGGGTCGAACCCCACCAGTCTAGTTGTATTTGGTGGAAAAGTATATTTCCAAGCGCAAGCAGACCCCTCTATTGGCCGTGAATTGTATGTTAGCGACGGAACCTCAAGTGGTACTACGCTGCTAGTTGATCTGGTACCTGGCCCACTGAGTTCGGCACCAACGTCGATGTTGGTTGTTGGGCCCGTCACGATGACTGATGGCACTACAAAGAGCCAAGGTCTTGTTTTCACTGCGGTCGACTCGTCGGGGCGTACAAACGTCTGGCTATCAGACGGAACCGCACAGGGTATAGCCCCTCTATTGGATGAGGTGTTCCTCCTTAGTCACAACCTCAGTTTCCGTTTGGTTGAACAGGACGATCGGACTCCACGAGTTTTGGAGTTCGGAAATGCCATTTACTTTGCCACTCACGACTTCTCTCCAGGAAGAACAGTAACTCGCGAAGGCCCGTCGACGCTGTATCAGCTAGATATACGAGTAAGTTACGGGCTTGTTTTTATTGTGAACTCCGACGACATGCAACAAGTGCCTGATGACGCGGCGAATGAGCTGAAGCTGGGAGGAACCGTGGTCAGTTTGAAACACGATTTGGATAGAATGGTGTACTTGCCGCCTCAAAACTGGAACGACGAACAGTTTCCCGGAGGCCACATTGTGGAGTGGCAATTTGTAGTTTCTTACGAAAACAAGTCAGTCGAGACCTACGCGGACCTCGTGATAACAGCACGATTTGATATCCCTGTTATTGCTGTTCCTGAAGCCATTGAGGACCCATCTCATTACATGGGGGACTACTTGTCTGTGCTGAGACTGGAGTGTTTGCCTTTGGTGTGTGACGAAGACACTCCTATGCAGCTGGACGGGTTTTCAGTGCGGGCAGCTGATGTGACACCAAGGCAGCTATCAACTACAGATCTACTCGTGCTTAGTATTTCCGTATCCCACGGAGTTCTTTCCCTTGGAGACCCTTTACTTTCTGACTGCATCGGTCAGTTCGTGGGCCCACAGTCACAACAGTCCGTGTCCTTTAAAGCAAACGTAGATTGTATGAACAGAATCCTGTTGGGTATGACGTACGCTGGTGAACCCCATTTCAGCGGATCGGATCAACTCAAGATTCGGGTTGGGCTTGCAGGGAAATTGGACGCTGGATTTGACGAGGTGATCGTTCCTATCATTGTGATGGAGCTAAACGATGCGCCCTACATTGATGTAAGGTCTGTGTACTATGAAGCTGTGGAAGACATTCCACTCGTGATTGAAGACTTGTACTTGCGCGATCCCGACGCGTTGGAAGAGCCTCTTCGTGTCGTGATGGAAGCAAGTTGTGGGCAGCTTGCTCTCCTGCGACCTGACGGGATAGATCTGACAGCTGAAACGATGGAGAGTGGAGCTATGCGGCTTACACTTGAAGGAACATTGTTTAACCTCAACGCTGCCATTGCATCTGTGGTTTATACTTCGGCGAAAGACTGGAACAGCTTGCAGTTCCATTCTGACGGTGGGCTGAACGGATTTGACACCATTACGATCAATGCATTTGACTCCTCTTCGTTCAACGCATCGAGCGTGTCAGTGCTGTTTGTTTATGTGGATCCTGACGTAGACTCGGTGGTAATCGACACTCCATCGAACGTGCTGACAAGCGTCTACGCTGATGATCCACCTGGAATGCTCCGAGGGGATGAGGATACATGGATTGGCGTTAATGGTTTGGCGTTCTCTAGCGTTGATGACACCTCGCAGATGACGCTAGTGCTTGCGCTGTCGGTGGGCCACGGAATTCTCTCTTCGTCGCAGTTTCGTGGCATTACATTTCTAGAAGATACTAATGATCAAGCCAACATCGTGAAAATCAAAGGCACTTTTGTCAATGTGAACGGGTGTGTCGCTGGCTTGCGCTATCTTCCATACGAGGACTATTACGGAATCGACACGCTAGTTGTCACTGCCTACGCGATTGATCAGTACACGCAGCAGCAGACACCCTCGTCTTCCATTAACGTTGGCATCACAATAGACCCCGTGAACGACGCACCGGTATGGAACATTGGTTCATCTGCTACACGTGGAATCCAGCAAGGTCGTTCTGTAAGTATTGCCGGGGTGTATGTTCGCGACATTGACGTTGCTACACTTGACTGTGCGGTTGAATCGTGTGTGATGGATCTGATCGTGGAGGCCAGTCAAGGTTTCGTGACTCTTTCGGATCAGTCGTCTACTTCTTTTTCCAATGACATGACCATCAAGAAAGCCGCGTACGTAGTTGTTTCCGGCACCCCTGATGAGCTGAACACGATACTTTCGAAGATGACATTTGAGCTCGCTGAACCGGAAAACTATCGCGCTGATAGTCCTAGTCGCACCGATATTAAGCTGCAGCTGACAGTTGACGACAGAGGAACGTTTGGCCGAGGCGGGCCTCAAATCAGCACAACGACTGTGGTATTCAGCCCCGTTACGTGGTCTCGCTACGCTTTGTCGATTCTCGCACCTGAAGACGTGTTGGAAATGGAGGAGGACACGACATTTGAATTCAATGAAGATATTCAGCTGCTCGATTCAGACTCGGCGCGGTCGTTCTACAACCTCCTTGAGCTCACGATTAGTTGCTCGAGTGGAGCGTTCGCCCTGAGTAGCCAGGTAACTGGCATTCAAGTGCTGCGAAATGATTCGGGTGGTAGCTTGGTCATTCGAGGCTACTTCGCACAGCTGAACGCGGCTTTAAATGGAAGTTCTTACATACCGGCTGCGAACTGGTACGGCTCGGAGAAGCTGTCGTTCTCGGTTGTAGAATTGAACCATATTGAACAAACAGGTACTGCCACTGTCTTCCTGTTTGCTGCTCCTGTTTGCGACGAACCACACTGGAGAAGCCAACAACCCGCTGACAAGCCATTTTCCATGAAAGAAGACGGATACCTCTTGATCGATTCAATCTCACTAACGAACCCCGATTTGGACGATGAACAGCGTGAAGTCGAGGTTTCGATTAGCGTCAAGCGCGGAGGTATTATGCTATCAATGACGAAAGGGCTTCTCGTCGAGCAAGCAGAATATAGCACTTCGGAGAGCAGACTAGTCGCGCAGCACGCTCCGCCTGGAAACACATTTCCCGATTCCCGAGCACGCTTATTTTTCAAGGAGCTGGCATTTCGGGGTCGAGTAAGCGACGTTAATTCGGCCTTGAAGGGCATGATATTCAAGCCTTCCTTAGACTACAATTCGGATGGATGGCCGGTTGAGGAGATATCATTCATGGCAACAACCTCTTGTGGGGGTATTGAGGACAGCGGATCTCCTGTTAGCAGTACTACAATTGCAAAAATCGCCATCGATGCGGTTAATGATCCTCCCGTTTTGATCTCAGAGCATTTTCAACGCATCTCGTGGCCGTTTTCCCTTCGTACTTTTATGTCGTCAGACTTGTTCATCGAAGCAGTAGAGGATCTACCGCTGCGGTTGGAGACACTGGCGCTATACGACCCTGACTACGACCTCCGTGATGGCGATCTCCGACTTCTCGTAAATATTTCGTGTATTCATTGCATTATAACGTCAACGAGCATCCCCGAGCAGCAATCAGCCGACGATCTGGTTTTCCTAACAAAACATTGGGAGAGTAATGAGGGCACTCAGCTGATTGTGCACGGAAGTCTCTCGTCTTTAAACCAAAATCTGATGAACCAACTAACGTTCCGGGGTGCAGGCAACTTCAATGGGATCGCGTTCGTGCTGGTCGAAATATCCGATTTGGGAAACTACGGAGAAGGGGGTGAGCAGCACACTCTGTTTGCGTTGGGAGTTAAGGTTAAAGCTGTAAACGACATTCCCCAAATTCACCTCCCGCAATTCCAGTCGCAGGAGTCCGTTCTTCAGCTGGACGAAGACGCTTCGGTGCTCATAGTTGGAGCTCCTGCTCTTTCTGCAGTTTCCGAAGGTGCTCGACACCAGCTACCGGGGTGGTCTCTCATGAGTGCCGATCTGACGGGGAATGAGTCTACTACACGACTGTACAGCTTGAGTAGTTTCTTGGGGCCGAAGGGGATCGCAGCCTCATCTCTTGTGGTTTATAACGGCGGTCTACTTTTCAGTGGCCAGGACCCAGATCTCGGGAAGGAGATTTGGTATAGTGATGGCACAGCAGTTGGCACAGTTCTACTCAAGGACATTTTTCCTGGGAGCGGGGGCTCCAATCCGTCGTCTCTGACCTCTTTTTCGAAGGATAACCGAGTGTACTTTGCTGCAGAAGGCCCCCATTTGTCGTGGCAAATCAAGGATGTCTACCGAGACTCGTGCCAGGGTTTTCGACCGAGCTCTCTTGACCCAGATATTTATTTCACTGTGGCGGCAGTGAACGTTTGGGATCCCGAGGAGGTACGTTCAATATAGCTGCGTTATAGTAGCCAGGACTCGTACCTGACTATTTGCTTACGCTTGCACCCGATGCACAGACGTACGATTGCCCTCTAGGATTTCGCTGGATGTCGACCTCTGAGGCTCAGCAGGTGTTTCTCGGAACGATTGCGCTGGATGGTCACAGCGAGGAACCTCTCACTTACTTCGACCTGTGCGGATGGCGCGGGTACGAGTGGGGAGGCCAGACGCGAAAGTACTTCCGCTTTTCGGATTCCAAGGTATACATTTCGCTTTCGATGGTACAGCATTTAATCTTTTGCACTTAGGTACTAACACCATATTCTTCTGTCTAGGCTACCGGCGCATTTAAGCATGCTGGTTTTCGAGACTCGTATCGCCTGGACACAGGCTTTCAAACAGATTTATTTGCGGGTATTGTATGCTATCGCGAGTCTCCTTCCTGTCAAGTATCATGGGGGACGCAACTGTGGGCAACTGACGGCACTGCAGAGGGAACACAGCGCGTTGCTCGGATATCGACCGACCCCGAGGGCTCAAACCCTTCGCATTTTGTCGAGCTGAACCAGCGACTGTACTTCCAAGCAACCTCCCCTGACTTTGGCTCCGAACTGTGGTCGACTGACGGCTCCAGAGCCGGCACTTACCTAGTGGCCGATGTTGAGTTTGGCTCGCGCAGCTCCGAACCACGATTCCTTACTGTATTCGACTCGCGAGTATATTTTTCAGCAGAAACCCAAGACTACGGTCGTGAACTCTGGTTTTCAAACGGTGACCCACGGTTCAAGTTCGACTATGATCAGCACGCAACTGTCGGAACAGGCTTGGCTCTCGATATTTGCTCTGGCGCCGGGTCTTCCTCTCCTCAACATTTCGCAGTGTTGACTTCCCTATTACTCTTCCAAGCGGATGACTGCATCCATGGGCCCGAGCTCTGGTCAACGGACGGAACGCGGTCAGGGACGACTCTCGTGCTAGACATTCACACAGGGTCGACGGGGTCATTTCCGCGCTACTTGATGACTTTCGCCGGGCAGGTCTACTTCCAGGCAGACGACGGCGTTCATGGATCTGAGCTCTGGACAACAGACGGAACTCCCAGCGGAACTGCCATGCTACTTGACATCGCGTCGGGGGTACAGGGGTCCGTGCCCACCTTCTTGACAATCCTGTACACTTCCAGTGCTCCTTCTGGTACACTTGTCTTCGCAGCGCAAGCGGAGCGAGATCGTCTCACGGAATTCTGGCAATCAGACGGAACCAGCGGCGGGACTACCAAATTGTTCCCGCTGTCCCGCGAAGTTGTTGAGCTGAACGTGGACTCGCTCAATCTCCAGCTAGCAGGGAAAACGCTAGTGGCGATTTCATCAGAACCTGATAGATTCTTCTATCTTGGTCGAGAAATTAGCGGTCAAGGTGTCGACTTCCAGCGTGATGCTACTAGTCGGCTTGGCCTGCGGTATGCTGAAGACGTTGCCCACACGAGATCAATGACGTTGGAAGACGTTGGGGCAACTGTAGGTGAGCAAAATCTGGCGCTATCGCTGAGTTGCTCAAAGGGTTGGCTAAGTCTGGGAAAGCAGTGCAGTGGTGCATCCGTGAGTCTGGATGGGACTCCTGATCAGAAGAAGGCCGCAGTTGTCACGTTAGAGGGGCCATTGGATGCACTGAATTGCGCAGTGGAGAAACTGACATACCATTCCAAGCCGCAAGAGAATGGCTGGGACGAAATACAAGTGACGCTTAGCCAGGGAGGTGGGTCCGCTCCGAGTGAGGTGGACAATGTCGCGAATTTCAACTCGGAACGTGATAGCAGCTTCGCAGTCTCAAAGCGCATGCGTGTTGAAATTCGTGCCATAAACGACCCTCCGTCAATTGGGATGGCGTCGATGTTCTACGCTCCGCTGCGACGGTGGGTGGCCCTGGCGGGGATTAAGATCACTGACCCAGACTCAGCAGAAGGTATGCTGTATGTGAGCATATCGGTTCGTATGGGAAGACTCCGGGTGATTCTACCGCATCAAATCAACGCCAACGGGCCAATGGCACTCCATCCAACTGCCGACGGGGACGTCTCGCAAGCGCTTGAGTTTGCGACCACTGCGAGGCAGGCTCCAGAGATATTCACTCGTCTGGAGTACAGCTGTGACGATCACTATGACTGCTCCAATTCCCAGCACGACTATCTGACAGTCCAAGTCGACGACAACGGTTTACATGGGGCGGGCTGCCCCGAAGTGGCCACCACGACTGCCGAGATTATCATAGTGGGTAGTTAGAGTTTGATCTGCAAAATGCGTGGCAGCAACCGCAACGAGTACACGTCGATATATGAGAAGCACACGTTATCATTGTATAGTGTGCGCCAAGAGTTCGTCCGTCTAGCTGGCGTTGTGCTCAGTAGACGTACCTGCTGCCTCTTCCGCGAGCTCAAGTGCATTCTCCACAAAAAAGGCCTTGTCGAAAGCCGATTCCTCCAACACGCCATCTTCGTAGCTGGCCTTGTACGTCGTGAGAAGCTGCTCGTCATTCTTGCGAGCCAGCGATTTCAGCACCTTGAGCGCCTTCTCGTCTTCGAATAGTCCCTCCTTCTGCAGCTTGTTCAACATGCGCAGGACGTCACTCGACGCGGCGCTCGCGGTGGGCGGGGACGTAGACGAAGTGGCAGTAACTTCAGCCTCGACCACCAGCTCGGCACTTGTCGGCTCCACGTAGCCTGAAAGACAAGAGAAACAGCGTCAGTACGCAGCAAACAGGGGGTAGCCAGAGGTGCTGCATACTCGATGCCACGTACCCTCAATGCAGCGCGGGTTTTCCTTCAGCGCCTGCAGGAAGGGCTCAATCTCCGCCTCGGTGGGCACAATAATGGCCAGAGGCTGGCCGGGGGCAACGTTGTTGGACCCTTCGTCCACCACTGCAAGCGTCAACAGCAGTAACAGCAGCAACAACAACAAATGTCAATCGACGCAGCTCAGCTACGAAAACTTATGCGTTTTCCACTCACACAGTCGCGCGATGAATCCCTCGTCTCCAGACTCGAGTTGGAAGCACAGATCCGGCGTGTCAATCTGCAGCGCAGCAAGTCAGTCTCTATACGTCTCCTGCAGGATACAGGCCACAGCGTCTCCTTACCTCGCACATGTGCGTGCCGTCCTTCACGGCGGCGCCCTCCTGCACGTACCACTTGGTGAGCGTCGTGTCTCCGGCGCCGCTGCCCACCTCCTGTGTGATCACCAAGCAATAGACTCGCTGTCAGTCATCCAGTTTGCACTCGCAGTCATTAAGCTCCAGACGCGCACTCATTGAGAGACGCACCTTGAAGTCCAGGTCGGGCATGCGGAACTTGATGTGCGAGGGCAGCGCCACCTCCTCCTTGTCGCTGGGCGGCTCTGCGCTCGTGGAGAACAGCGCGAAGGACCGCAGCGTGTGCGCCTGCGAGCGTCCGACCGTCAGCGCGGCGCGTCGTCGCCCATGCGCCGCCAGAGCGCGCGTCGCCAGCCGCATCATCACGTCTGTGAGCTGGTCGAGCAATAATGGACGCTGAGGCAAGCAGCTGTCTTGAACTTTGTAAGGCATACAATATCCAAGACGAAATAGATCGGGGCACGTGTGTAATTTCAGCGCACCAGTTTGCGATAATTACAGCGTGGCCACGATTAACCGGTCCGGCGCCCCCGAACCGCGAATCGAACCGTCTGGCGCCTCGGCTCGGCAGCCACCACCAATCGCCGCCCAAGCTACCCACCTTTTGCAGGCTACTATCATTGGAATTCTCCGCGAGAAACGAAAGGAAGAAACATGAGGTGCGTGTGTGCGTATGAGAGCGCGCGCGCGTACAAGCGAGCAGAGCAATAATAACAGACTCACCGTGTCTGCAATGTCAACAGCAACTGCAGCATTGAGAACGCCACCACGCTGAACCTGTCCCTCCGCCTGCGCGGTGGTGGTAAGGTCCACGGTTCGCTGGCACGTGCCGGTAAGGTCAAGGGCCAGACCCCCAAGGTCCCCAAGCAGGAGGACTCGAAGAAGGCGCTGACGGGCCGCGCTAAGAAGCGCTGGCAGTACAACCGTCGCTTCGTGAACGTCGTGGCGGGCATGGGCGGCAAGAAGCTGGGCCCCAACTCGAACGCCGCCAAGAACTAAGCAGGCAGCCAGTAAGGCTGGGACAGGCAGTCGGTCGGTCGACGTGAGCGATAAGCAGGACAGGCAGACAGCGACGACGCGTGCAATGGAATTGGATGCGTGGCCAAGGATGCAGGTTCAGCTTTCCGTTCGTGACTCTCCATCTCTCGACTGCCGGCACCGTCACCCCCTCCTCCTCGTCTCCGGCGGCTGGGGTTGGCGGTGCTGTCTTCTCTTCTGTGGCGCTTAGCGATCCAGTCGTCTCGGTGACTGTCGTTGGCGTAGGTTCCTCGGGAGCTTCGCGGCTCTCGATGCTCTCGCATATTCCAAAATCAACCGTATGTTAAATCCAACGCTGCCTCCGCTTCGCCCGGGTCCGGTGTCGCTTTCGCTTTCTCGCAATTTCAGAGTCTTGTGCGTCGCGTATCGTTTGCTGTTGTCGTAATTGGCGTGTCGATGCTGTCTGTGTCTGGTGTCCTTGTCCTTCAACATGCTAGGTTTCCGGGTGTGATAACTGAAGTTGAACACTTGTTTGTTGGCAGGTGCGCATTTGCCTTTCAATGACAACGGTTGCTATGATCAGGCGTTACGCTAGTGATGCATGCGATCATGGCCTTGCAGAGTCTAAATGCGGGTTACTGCTGCGTGTTGCAGGTTTAGCCCTTCGGCAAGAGAGCGGAACTAACTCATGTACAGCGATGACTCGGCAGCGTCCGAGGTGGAGTCTGAAGTTGAGGAAGCCTACGGCGACGGCGGCAGTGAGGTCGCTAGCGAAATTGCAGAGAGCGTCGATGTGCGGGAATCGCCGGCCAAGTTGAAGCAGCAGCCCAAGCAACAGACACCGATCAAGGCTTCGGTCTCGGATGCCTACGAGGAAGACGAAGACGGATACAGCGTCGACTTTGAAGACGACTTCGAAGAGGACGACGAGGAAGCACCCGCCGCTCGACCCCCACCTTCAGCCCCGATCACCAAGGCTCCGTCACCAACTCGTTCCGTCATCAGCAATGCGCGTCGTTCCGCAGTGCAGTCTGATGATGCCTCGGCGTACGAGTACGAGTATGACGAAGCCTCCTTCGAGGAGGAAAGCCGCCGCTCACAGAGCCAGCGAAGCTTAAGCCAAAGCAACCGCGTCGTAGATCTGTCAGTGCGATCAGCGTCTCCTTCGTTCCGACCGGCGCCAACCCAAGAGAGCAACAGCGAGTTACCCGGGGCTAACTTTGTGGCTCCTTCCGAGGTTCGCACCGTAGTGTCAGATACTAGGATACTTTCGAGGCCCACGGCGGCAGCGCTTGCATCCGTCGCAGAAGAAGAAGCCGAGGCCGTCGCCACCATTCAAAGCAAGCAGTTTTCACTGCTGCTGCGCAAAGTGGAGAGCAAGTTCGAGGACGAAGTCGAGGAGCTACGAGAAAAGAATGCCTTGCTCACGTGGAAGGAGCGCGAGCTGAAGGCGTCGCTACGTCGAGCCAAAGAAGAGCTCACAATGCGCAAGGTGCGTATCGAAAAAAAGCGTCGGCGAGCTGCCGATCGACGGCGAGAGCACGAACGAGCAGCGGAGCGTGTGCAGCAGGAGCTTGCAGCAGCACATTCCGCCGTTTCGGATCGGGAGCGCCGGATAGAGGAACTGCAGTGTGAACTCGCTCAGATGCGCGAGGTGCTGCATAATGTCGAGCGAGAGAAGCACGAGGCGGAAGACCGCAACTTGGCCCTTGCTGAGAAGTTGCAAGCAGCACTAGGAGACTTTCACCAGCTCACGTGCAGCTTTGAAGATGCTGTAAACGCCAAACTCGCCTGTGAACAGCGCATCGAAGAGCTCAAGGGCATGCATCGCGTACAGCTCGAAGTATTGGAGCACAAGTGCCGAGTTGACGTTGAAGCTGCTCGTCGGGCACTCGCCGACGAGGTTGCAGCGCGCACTGCTGAGCGCCAAACTCTGCCCGAGATCCACCAGCGCATTGTCGAAGCGGAGAAAGAGCGCTTCGAGAAGCTGGAGGCAGCGCTGCATAAACAGATGCGCGAACTGGAGTCGCGTGCCGCGCAGGAAGCCATGACTCACGCTGCAGAGCTGGCTCGAGCCACTGAGGCTAAGCACCAGGCTGAGCAACGCGCAGAACGGCGAATACAGGATGAAGTTGACAGGGTACGTCTGTGCAAGGGCTCGCTTGCGTGAAAGAGTCTCACATTCTAACATGTTGTGGCTCGTTGCATTGCGTCCTCAGATAGCACGCGAGCGCGATGCTGTCGACGAGCAACGACGAGAGCTGCTGGCGTCGGTGGCTCGCACGAACGCTCGCTTCGACGAGGAGCGGGGCAAGATGGAAGCCCGGAGCTGCGAGCTGGACACCCGGCGCTCCCAGCTTGCAGACGAGCGCGCAGAGCTCGAGGCCCGTGTCGGATACATTGAGCAGCGCACGCGTCGTCTGGAAGAGGACGAGGCGCTGGTCGAGAGGCGGCGTACGGAGCTTGCCGCCGTCGGGCGTGAGACGCTGGAACGGTCGCATGCTCTAGCCCGACGCGCTCAGGAGTTCGCTGACGCCATCGCCGAGCGCGAGAAGCTGCGCACTCTCGTGAGGGTTCTGACGGAGCGCTCAGAGCGGAGCGAGCAGCGCGCGATGATGCTGGAGCAGGACCGCGAGAAGCTCGAGGCCGCGACCCAGGCGCTGCAGCAGGAGCGGTTGCTTGTGGCCAAGCAGCGCGTGCAGTCTCGCTACTTCCTGGACGGCGCGCGCAAGCTCGAGAGCATGCTGCACCAGAAGCACTGCGTGCTCGAGGCGGCGGACAAGCGCCAGCATCTGCAGCCCAAGAGTAACCAGCTCGAGCACCGGGACAGCTACAAGCAAAGCACATGTTGAAGTCAATTTTACTTGAATTTAGTATAGACACACTTGACCAATGAACTGCTTATTTTCTTCTCCTCGCACGAGTAGACCGTCGAGGCACAAGGGACCATGTGGCTGCTGAGCCTGAGCCTGGGCTGCTGCCTCTGCGTGTGCTGCTGTTGCTGCTGCTGCTTCGCCGGCCTCTTCGACGAGGGCAAGGTCTCCCCGCTGCCGGTCCCCACTAGGCGGCCCGCTGCGAGGACTTCTCGCCCGAGTCGCCGCGGACGCGCGACAGAATCCCGTTAAAGAACGGCCGGAAGCCGCCGCCGCCGGCGCCGGCGTTGCTGCTACTCGCGGGCTCATCCTTATCCAGGCTCGCGCGGAAGACGGTGGATGCGCTCGACTGCTCGAACGGACTCTCCGAGATGCGCTCCACGGTCGGTAGCTGCAGGCCCAGTGGCCGCCGCTGCTGCTGCGCCTCCTGGGTGTCGCTAGCAAGTGGCGCCGCTGGTTTGGTCTCCATGTCATCCTCTTCATCTGCCTCCATGTCCACGTCTGCGGTCTCGCCCGTCTCGAGTCGCTGAATCTTCACGGGGGGCCACGGCGTCGTCGGGTCTTCGGGCCGTTCGTGTGCTGCAGCTTCTGGTGCGTGTGCGGCTGTGGCTGTAGTCTCGTTCACCGAGTCACGCAAGTATCCAAGGTCGACGGGGTTCTGCTTGTAGTTGGACAAGCGCTGCGCCGTGATTGCAGCGGCTGCCACCACGCTCGCCGCGGATATGGATGGCCTGGCGCCGCCTGAAGGCGTCGTAGCTGCGGATCCAGGCGTCGGGGGGCCCGAGCCAAACCCAAACCCACGCGGCGTGAGGTTGTTGGCGATGTACGATCGAGGAGTGTTGCTCTCGTTGAAGAAGGCGCCGCCGGGGGTGCGTGGTCCTCGCGCGTGACTGTGTGCGTGCCCGCGAGCATCGTAGACTGACCGGGTGGAAGTTGTCGACCGAATGGAGAGATTAGAGTGAGCTGATGCGTCCGAAAACGCCGACGGCGTGCGCGGCCCGCCGCCATTGCCCATGTAGAGATCCATCAAGTTCATTTCGTTGTGCGCGATCGTGCTGCTGGATGTAACGGAGGAGGTAGATATATCCGACATGTTTCCATCATCGTGTCCACCAGCCTTCTGCACGCCCATGTTGCACACAGAGCAGATGCGGACGTTCTTGAGCGTCGTGCCAGGCACCTCCACAGACTTGAACACGCTGCATTTGCCACAAATGACCTCGCCACAGCTTCGGCAGTGATGGCGCGGACGGAACGTACCAAAAGTCCGGCTGCAAACGGCACAGTGGAGACGCTCGTGGTTGGGCACCCACTGCCGCTTATCTACGAAGGTGCAGGCGTTCATCTGCTGCTTGTCAATGATGCGGCGAATCTGCACGATGCTGTTCACCAGTTGCGACTCGGCAGTCTTAAAGGCCCACTGCGAAGGGAAGTAGCCTCCAGGGTCGAGCCGCGCTACGTGGTGCACCCGCACTACGTTCGGCTCGGCGCGATCGGTGCGATACATGTATCCAGCGAGGATCTTTGCGCGCACGAGCCCATGCGAGTTCTCGAGCGACGGGCACTCGTTGACCTCGATGGAGTTGAGAACGCGAATATACATTTCGTTGCCGAACGAGTCCACGATCTTGTCCTGCACCTCGAGGCAGCAGTAGTCTCGGTGCGACACGATGGGCGTGGGCGTCTTCACAGCGTACCACTTGATGCCGATATACCTGTAGGGCGTCAGCGGCGTGCGCGGCACAATCGTGGACAGCACGGCGGCGTCCATCACAGCGGGGTTGAGCTTCTTCATGAGTCTCCTGAACAGCGCGTCGTCGTGCGCCGCGTAGGCGCGTCCGACCTGCTCCAGCGAGGCGTTGAGCTCGCCCTTGCAGCCCACCTCGGCGATGTTCGACTTATAGGCGTTGGGGCCGCGCATCTGGCCGAAGTTGCGGTAGATGGCCACGCCCTTCTTCTCGCGCATGGGGATCCAGCTATTCTTGTGGCAGTCGCTCAGCGCGAAGACCTTGCGGATGGAGCCCTCCGCGAACTCGACGTACTGGCGGCGCATGTCCTCGGACACGTGCACATTGGTGTTGAAGAAGCCCTTGGGCAGCGGCAGCGACGTGGACATCTCTGCTCTGCGGTCTCGCTCGGGCAAGTAAAGGCGAAGTGGCGACAACGACGATGCGGCCCCGGCGAAATCCGGCGCGCGGTTCGTGCCGTCGCGTGTCGAGCTGTTGTCGTCTGGGGGTCGCCGGCGCGTAACTGGCGACGATCTCGTCACTGCGGTCGTGGCCAGACGGCGATGGCCTGCCGGACGTCAGTTAATGTCGGCGCTCGCGGCCAGCTGGGGAGCGGTGCCGCGGCTGTGGCGCAGAGGGCGAAGTGGCCAATGTAGCGCCGAGCCTTGATGGAGATCGATGGGACGGGGTGGTGCGTGAGACTCGGCCGAAAATTCGACCAATCACGGTCGCCAGTCGTGCGCGCCAGTCTGATTTGGACTGACTATACGCTGTCGATTGATGGAACACCGGACCTGTGCAAGCTTGTGTCATCCTTCCGCCCCGCAACGACCATTCAGGGCGTTGACGGCAATTCTACAAAACTTGTGAGCAAACATCGGTAATGCATTAGTGCGATAATGTAGCCTATCGACACGTGTTTTCATCTCGTTCCAAACGAAGATCCAGAATACACAAAGAACATATCCACGAAATTATCGTAAGAAAAAAATAGCGGTGTTGGGATTCGGATTGGGTAGTTCTTTTAAATGGTCCAGTGCGAAAATCAGGGCAAGCTATGGAATGAGACTCTGGTCTAAATTCAAGACCCTAGCTCTACTATATAGCTGCATTGCGGTGTATTATCAATTGCGTCGACAACTTGTTTGTGCTTTGCAGGCTTTTTGGTGTAGCTCGTCCGACTTTTCGAGCACGACTTATCTAGAAATCGTACTCAAGTACGAATTGCTGTAAGTCGCGGTAACCGCTTGAAAATGCTTTCCAGAATTGGCTAATCAAAGAAAAACAATTCTCACCCACATACAAATAGAGAAGCCTTTTCCTGGTAGTGCATCAGCTACGAAGTATGGACACTCCGCCAGGATTAATTCGATGCACATGATATTTGGCACACATGGAGTAAACGTACACTCAAATCAAGTAAAGTCATATAACAATCTCCGAAATTACATGCTCTCTTGAAATTAGAGGCTTTCTCAATGGAGTAGCGAATTGGATGAGCTGATTATTCATCTCAAGAGACTAAAGGTAAACACTAAGTACGGCAATCGGCCTTGGTAGATAGTGAGGAGACCGCTCTTCTTCTAATTAGCGGGAATTTCCGTATAATATACCCCGAGCACTATTTATTAGTACTCCCTCTTTTTCCAAAAAAAATCACATAGATTACGGATAATACACAGTAGTGAATGCTTTCGACAACAAAGTCATCAATATATACTAGATACCGCACTTCATAAAGTAAATGTGTTTTAGAGATTTCAAAACTGCACTCGTCTTAACGATAAAACGCCCCGCTTTTTCCTAAAACTGCAGTTTTTGTCCTAAGATTTTCGAAAGAAAAAACAAACAAAATTCTCATTGGTCAAAATACAAATGATGTATTGATACTATGTTCGGTGTAGTGGTGTGCCGTCTCGTAGCTGTAGCCAAGGTTTGGCACCGATATCATCCGTCTAGCATATTGTTTGGCGTCATCGTCGGAGATGGTGCCCCTCCCCCCCCTACCATCACCGATAGATACGCACTTGTGATTAACAACCCAAAAGGTTACCACGCGATTGCTCCGACTTGGCGACTCTGTACACAATAGCACACGCACCAGAAACAAGCGGAACACTCCGTATTAGGCACTCAAATATGTGAGGTTTTATTGTCTGTTATGCTGATTCAAATCAGATGATAATTTTATCCAATCAATGAGCTGCAAGGTTTTAGGTACAAAATTAAAGTATAAGTGCTCAGATTTAAAAAGTGGCTCTATTGATTAAGAATCTAAGACGTCAGTGCCTCGTAGCAATTTTTATAGCTGACGCTGTCGTTGCAAGCGACATTGGATCGAGTACCAGTCGGACCGACCGTCTTACGAACTTGCCTCCCTCGTTAGTGATAATGCATTCCAACACTTTTTGCAAAGTGAGGAAGCATTTTTCAATAGTTTGGTATTAAACATTGTTAAAAGCGTTACCTACTGCTTCAATGAGTCCATCGATCTGGTTTGTTGGTTGCCGATACTGAATCGCTTGAATAAAGTTAAAAATCCCCAAGAATATTACACTCTGGAGAGCGAGGTGGCTGGCACAACATTTCGATATTTCAGCCACCTTCCTTACCAGCGGCGAGGACCTCACCATGATCTTTCTCTGCATGGAGGCCTCTGTTGAACACGAATAACAGAAGTCTTGCGATCTGTATACGTAATTAAAAAGTTAGTTCAGACAAATAAAGTAAAAGTACTTTCGAAATAAAAATACTTACCCGGCCATTTTGCACGAATAGTTGGAAAAGCTTTTTCCTTGAGCATCTCCACGTACACTTTTCTTGACATGCTGATATTCTTGGTAATCGGTGTGCCGGCAACTCGATTTTTGGAGTTTTTTGCCTTGGTGAGCTCAACGAAGGGCCAGACCCCAATTTTTCCGTCAAAGTATGTTTTTAGTGAAAAATCATACATGGGTCTTGCTACCGCTGCGAGAAATATTACCTTACCGGTGTAGCGTTTGTTTGAACACGAACGGTAAGGTAGTGCTTCGTCAGCAGCCAAGTAGTATCGAGAAGACGCCTTGTACATATTGAATCACTTCTCATCGATATGAACTACATCATACATAGCATCAAAACGATACAAAAGTCCGCCTTTGGAGAATATCAGTTGACTAGCTGAGCATCTATCTGTACAGCTGCTAATAGGGGCGACGCGCCACAGTGGTTAGATCAACCACTACGGTACGACGTCCCCACGACCCGGAGTCAATCGGAATCCAAGCGTAGTAGAAGACTGTTTCCGGAAGCGACTTGGGCGCGCCGCACATGCGGCACACCAGTCGCTCCTTGGTTATTCTCTACTATACTTATTAATAACTGTTCATACCCCACATCTTTAAACTGAGACTAGCGCAGGTGTATTTTGGCTACGCGAACACGTAAATCATTGCATTGCATTGCCCCACATCTTTCTGAATGAGCGCTCGCCTTGATTTGGACAAACCGGTAATTTCAAGGTGATCAGTATTTAACCGGTACTGGTGTCGAATTTTGTACCTCCACTTTACTTACTACAGTAGGACAGCCTATAGCAACGTGTGGATTGTATAAATTGAACCCCTTGGTATAGAGGGACAAATGTCTCTTAAACCCAAGTAAAATTTGAGTTCATTTTAAAGCGAGTCCCCAGTACAGATGTCTCCCCTACCCCTGAGGGATCAACTCAATGTAAGTGGGGACTTCTTCCCCAATAACTATTTCAAAACAATGTTTTCAATTACTAACATCAATAATAAATAGCGCAAATTCCTACCAATTGAGCGCTTCACTTGGGCAAGAGCCCACATCAGCCGCTGAAGCTTGTGTGCGTCCGTAAGCGCCGGCTTGACCCTCGAGATGAAGCGCCGCAGGACCTTGGACTTCAGGTTCTGTGCAGCGTGGATCTTGGGATGCCGGATGCCGCCTCGAGAGCGCGCAGAGTCTGCCGCTGGCAGAGCGGCACGGTGGCAACGCACTCCTCCACCTCCTTGAGGCTGATACGTGTTGGCTTGGGCGGGTACGGCCGCCGAGGCTGCAACAGCACGGCTGGGTCGCCCCGAAGACCCCAGATGGTCTCGACGGCAGCGCGGCTGAGCTTGAACAGCTTCTTGGTCGGCACGATGGTCCCGTAGCGGAGGAGACTTTCTTACTTAACCCTATTGTGGTTGATGGTCCTAAACCCTTCCAATATGCTTGGTTTTACAAATTTAATTCAATCAAATCACCCCTCTATTGATGCTGAACTATTATATCACTTGCGTAAAATCAAGCATATTGCAAGGTTTTACAACAATAATTGCAATAATTATTGGTACACCCCTGCAAAATGATATATTATGTTGCGGGGTGCGGCGCAAAACCAAGCATTTATGCATGTTTTACACATTACCATGGGGACTTCAGTATACAAAACTCAAATATTAGTTTGAACACTAAAGGGTTAAGGTGGTAAGGAAGACCACCACCGCAACACGTACTTCCGGCGTGATGTCTTTCGCGCCGACTGTCCTTGGCAACTTGACTGTAGGTTCTGCTGTATTTAGATTCTGCTGTCTTGGGCTCCTAACGTAGATTAAGCGCACGCACCAACCGTTGTACGGTGACCTTTACCTCAAATAATTATATCCAATCAAATCATTCTATCATATTTAAGTGGTACACAAAAACAAACTACCGATAAATTGGTGGGACAGAGAAGTAAGCGGTTTTGAAATACCGTGTCTCCCTTTATGTACTATTTCCCTTCACGCTGCATAGATCCAGTGGTAGTGTTGGGGTAGTACAGACCTTGTGGAACACATAATGTGTACAAGTTTTGTAATCCGGTAGGGCTTAGAGAAATTACCATATGGCTTTTATTGGGAGACGGGTATTGTATTCAGGAAAATCCGTTAGTCACTTCCGAGGCGGTCTTACGTGTATCGAGAGGCCTCTCCCTTGATGACCAGCACTGTGCAGTCATTTATTGCTGCACAACAAGTTTGGGCTTTTTCACAGGGTTATCCTTGAAAAGAAAAAGCAAGCTGACCTTAAGCCTTCTAGCGGTGGATGATCTCGACTTCCGTAGGTTCAAAACTCTTTGAAGCGTATCAGAATCAATCCAGTTAAATCATAAACCGACCCGCTTGTCTGATTATAAGTCAGATCTTTACCTGAGGTGGCTTTCTTATTGGGGGGGGGTCGAACCTGGTTGAAAAAGTGCTAATTTTGGGGTGATTTCCTATTGATTATTTCGCCCCAACTCTGCTGATTTGAACCAGCGTTACAATGGTTTTGAACTTCAAGGCGTTCCCTTCTGTTTCATCCAAGTGCACGTCATATACTACTTTACTCCCGTTTCTTCATTGGAGAGTGCCTGCATGACGAA